GCACTAGGGGCCTCCTAAACTTAACAGTCATAGCATGTTTTAAAAACACTTTGTCACTCTTTGTCACTTTGTACTTTGAATGGACCACCTCTCCCGGCTTTACATTAGTTTAAAAAATCTGTGAAGACGCCAGGCCTTGAGGAAGAAAGATTTTTTTCTGCACAAAGAAATTACAACTTCATAATAAGAATTCTCCAGGGGGAGCTCTGTAGCTGGGTTTGGATGAATTTGATTTCCAGAGAGCAAAATTTGATAAAGCAGTTTTTGCAAGAATTAGTGACAAGGAAGCGATCCCCCAAGAGCAAAAGAAAAAAAAACCCTCAAGTGCAACTATTAAGCCTTTATAAACAGCTGGCTTTGTGAATAAACGCTAATGTATTGTTTTCGACAATCCATCTCCTTCGCGTCAGACGTACCATAGACATTATAGGGTCGACGCTTGCCTTTACCATGGAAAACCAATAATTAGTGTTTGAACTACATTTATAGAAGCCCAATTTGTACCGGAGTTTTGATACCCGCTTTGATCAAAGAAGATTACAGGGAGTGGTAGGTGCACTGAAGTGGCTATCTTCATAGACAAGTCTAACTTAGCAATGCTGCTGGTTCCTCGGGCCTTGAGCGCGAAAATCTCGGGGAATAAGGGTCTTTTACTATCACTAGTGCTCGTGACGCTCAAAGGCTAAAAACGAATTTGGAGAGAAAATTGACGGTAATGATGAGGACGAAGGAGATAGCCGTTTGTTCTTTTTGCACGGCAGGCGCTAATAAGCGAGTTGATTGCACATTAAGAAGTGCTCGCATTCTGAGTGCAGCCCTTTACAGGTTCTTCGTACGGAGGAATGGGGTTAGCCTTCGCTCTCCAGCCATTTTTCCCTTTTTCCCACCTGACTTCTATACTCCACATGACAATGCCGCAAGACTTAGAATTTAAGCGTTGTCGAATGTATTTATAGTCAAATAACACAGTATTTGCGAGAACATTTGATTTCTGTGAGACAATTAAAACGGTTTTTAGAAACGCTTTAAATCCCCAAATACTAATTTTTGTTGGACTGAGAATTTTGCTTTTATCAGTACTGTACAAGGAATCTTTTTTCTTTGAATTAATTTTTTTTTTAAATTTAAACTGTTATCTTTTATGTGAACTGTTTTTATAACTCCTGTTCCTGCAAACGACCGCATCATCCAACTTTAATTCAGAGTTTGTATTATTTACATGTTACAACAGGACGGTCACTTTCTGTTTTTGAAGGGACATCGTCAATGGCCGTTTTTGTACTAGAGGACGTCTAAGACGTCTGAGACGTTTAAGACGTCTTAGACGACTTAGACGTCTAGTATAAATACGCGAAATAAGGCAGACGCATAGACCTATTCGGCTAACTCAATGTTGTACCCAATTCAAACCCTTTGGGAATAAAACGTTTTGTTTCAGGAATTTCTATATCATTTAAACGTGAATGCCACATTGTAATGCAAATACAATACACAAAGAATCTTATCCCCGGGAGATTTGAATTGGGTACAACATTGAGTTAGCCGAATAGGTCTATTAATCGGCAGACGAATAAAAGGTCTGATGCTAAGTGCGTCCGATCGACGCACGGTTGATCTCTCAGGACCACAAGGGAGTGGATCCTTGAAGCAAAGCCAAGAGTTTCGTCAACTTGAATGACTAAAAGTTTGTTTTTAAATTTCCTCTTTTCCTCTTTATTTGGATTTTTTTAATTATCATATTTTGTTACTTAAGCAACTCATGAACTTATTGCCATTTCCCCCTCCCTGTTCCCCTACCAACTGTCCAATTTCATTAGCAATTTTACTTTTTAAAGAGAATTTGAGTGAACTATTTCAAAAATTTTCCGAAAATTTTCTGTTTCCAGCGTTTCTGGAACCTAAGAATCAGTTTCCCTGGGGAAGCATGCCCTAGATCCCCGTAGGTAGCTCGCACCTTCGGCGCTCCTAACGCGTCTTTCGGCGCCAAAGAAATTTAGCGTTCGGTGCTTTCGGATGTATGTTCGCTACTTTAAAAAACTGTCGAAAACCCTGATATCGTAGTATGAACAGGTATTCAGACCGTTGCGGAAGTGAATAAGTAGGGGCGAGGAAGGGAATCCACTGAAACGGAAGTACTGATATTCAGGAGTAAGGAGTGAGGACTGGAAGTTAGTGCTCCAATCCTTCTCGGCCAACAACTCCAGCACGGGTGACAATTTTCCACGGGCGTAGACGGAGGGTGAGTTTTCGTTGCTCAATCAACTAGTCAGCGGTGTTCTTGAACGCTGTGGTAGGTACTTGATGTATGGGAATATATATTGTATAGATTCCAAGTGACGGCGATGATTGAATGGGGCTAGAATTCAAACCACCCCCCCCCCCCCTGAAAAAAAAAAGCTTCGATTATGGGGAATGTTTTGCCTCCCAATACTGAACAGTGTTGTGCACAAGTCACAAGTACAGTAGTTGGATGTAACTAGTTTTATTCACGATTCACTCTCACTCAGTTTACCCGCAATCACGATGTGTCTAAAAACTAAAGAGTATTTTTCTTTGTTCTCTTATAACGTAACCGCGAATTCCGAATCGCGAATCTATGCCGTAACCCGGTAGTTGCCGAAAAGAAATAACAGTAATAACAGTGGTTTGTAGATTCTCTTTTGATATTGAAGTTATTAGGATCATTGTGTTTGTCACGCATTCTCTTGTAATCAAAAATATCCGATACGACCAGCCCCCATCACTTGAATCGGAACTTGAAATCCGGAGTACACCCCATGGGAGTTGCATTGATGTAGTTTTACGCTGTGTGCAGTGAAAGTACAACACCAGCTATAAATACTTCTGATTCAGCCTGAGGCTACAGTATTTGTGATTTTCAGTTTTGACCTTGAATGGCGATTTATTAAAAATACCGTAAAATTCCGAAAATAAGCTCCGGGGCTTATATTTTTCAAAGGCCCTTTTTGAGGGGCTTTTTTTTTGGAGGGGCTTATATTCGGAGGGGCTTATATTCGGGGGGGCTTATTTGCGGAGGGAAATTTGCGTTTTAAAATCAATTTGGCTAGCCTTATAGTTGGAAGTAAATTTACCGTTTTGCTTTGTTTTTCTTTGTATTTGAGGGCAATTTTCCAAGTACAAGCCCCCGGGGGGCTTATATTTGGTGTAGCGATTTAACGGAGGGTTTTTTGCGTTACCGGATTGGGGGGCTTATATTTGGAGGGGCTTATTTTCGGAATTTTATGGTATGTATTAAAAGCCGGTGTTACCGCATTCATCAGGGGCACCCATCGACAATTTTCGGAAAAATATCTGTTCGGAAGACGATTTGAGATCTAGAATTTTCGGGACATTTGTTGTAAAATTTCTTGCTTGCCTGCCTCTCCTAGGATTATCGAGCATCTCAGAAATGGTAAAATTGCCCATTTTCAACGGATTTTTACCCTAAAAAGGTCACCTAGAATTTTCGGGAGCCTTTTTTCTGGCTGAAATTTTCGAACAGGTAAGTTTTGATCCCTATAATTTTCGGATCATTAGACTTTCAGCTAGGAAATCCGAACAGATGAAAAATTTATAGGGGATAAAAATATGCCCATATCCACCGTTTAAATACTAAAACACGTTTAACAATGCTATGTTTAAGTGATTTTGAACTATATTCTCGTTGGGTGCCCCTGATTCATGAAAGTATACATTAAGTAACAATTCTCCGCTGTTTTGTGTATGTTTGTTTTCACAATAATCTCGATACTTATTGATATTAATACGTTTTCTCATTAGTCGCTCGTTCGTGGTATTGCAAATGATTTTGTTACATACATATTAGGGCTTGTAAAGAGGGATTAAACACGCCTTAAAAATAAGCCAAACAAACAAAATTAATGAAAATGCAATCTCTTTTTCCCTTACTTCGTCCTCGGAAGACTTCATAGTTGTCGCTTGAAAACCTTGATCTCGCCCGTCTGGTTTTCCCGCCAGATTGCGAAAATGTGACATAAATAAGGTTAAAAAGTCGACC